ATTTTAAAATGCCGCAAAAAACAATGAAAAACAAACCATATTCGACGAAATTTGCTGCAAAATATGAGAAAAACTAAAAAATAGGTAAATTTAACATTTTCCCGCCGGGTTACTGTCGCACTCGTTTCAACTGTTTCCGGTTGTTTACGCTTTCAGATATTTGTTTACAAACATCGCATACACTTCGACTCAACCTTTTTTTTTCTCTGACAAGGATAATAATACAAACGATTTATTATTGAAAACATCTATTTTTCGTAATCATGGTTGTTGGCACTGTAACACAGTCAAAATTGCTTTGTTTTTGATTCTGCCTTTTTCGTACAATTCTCAAAAACAAAATTAAAAATCGAGTGAGACCCATTTGGGAAGAGAACAGAACGTTGAGAAGAAATATGGATAAGATGCGAGAGAGAAGTGGCAGGGAACGTGTGGTGGTGGGAATTATTGACAGGGAAGTTTTACATCGGTGGGATGATATTTTAAGAAACTTTGTGAACAGTTCACTTCTTCTTTTCATATGATGACACAGGCGCAACTGGTTCTTTCTGGAAATTCGAAAGTATTATGAAACCACTTGCTTCGAAATGGTTACCGTAATATTTGGCTCCATTGCGTCCACTATACTGTCGAGTCCAAGAAGACATCCTTCATCGGCTCCAGAATATGCGAGATCCTGAAAAATGTATTCATTTTAACTTTAAATTTTAGAACGAAAGGGAAAAATTCACAAACTTCAAAAAATCCGGAAAATGTGGAGTGAGCAAAGTCAATGATGCACACTTTAACAGCGTCATCGTCAGAAGAGTCGGCAGCTTCTGCGTCGAATGCGATTAGGATTGAGGCAGAAAAAAAACGATAGCCCTCGAATTCAGCAAGTAGAGATCGAAGTTTGGAGAGCCTGAATAAACATGACGCTGTTTTAAAACTAAGTTTTCGCCTACTTTTGTCGCATTCTCGCAGCCCTGGATCGTCCGGAGCATTTGATGAATCGTTTGACATATCCCCTGAATCCAGCTGCATCAATCCTTCTTCCTTCTTGTTTTTCGACATAGGTGTAACTTTTCGTTTCCGCTTCATACATTTGCATTCCAACGACTCGAACACCAAGAGTTGCTGATGTCGAATGCCTGCACTTCATCAATTGTCTATGTCGTTTCGATTCACTTGCATCATCTCCGTGCTGTCGTGTTCCGATTTTCAGATCCAAAACACACGGTCTTGAGTAGTGAGCAACGACGTTCTCTAGAAGTAGGAAGGGCGTCGGTTCCGGCTCTTTCAGCATTCTTTCAACCACTTTGCATTGACATCCGGCCGCCCAGGGGTTCCATTGTTTTTCAGTATCCACGGTGACGCGCCCATCGTCCGTTAGACGAAAACCAGTGGATGATCGTTCATGTTTGCTCGATGACTTCTTCTTATGACAATCCAACTTTTCCAGCGTTTCCACTACAATCTGACCTGTCGATGGATTTGCAGTAGCTCGAACATCGACTTCTTCTGAAAGCTTTTAACTAATGAAAACTTCTCGAACATTCCAAAAACTCACTACAAAATGCCGGTGAAAAGTATTTCAGCTCTGAATTCATCACTTTGTAAAACGCCATTTCTCGCAAGTTCGATGGTTTCGCCACATGACCATTGCATGACAGTATTCCAAAATGACCTCCTACCTTCAATTTAAAATCTTTAGAATTGAAAGCATTGGTATAAAAAACCTGATGACGAAAAGCAGTTAATTCCATGATAAATTTCGACTAAATGAGATCGTTGATGAGGTGATTTGAAGATATTTTCTAAAAAAATAGAATTGTTGTGAGAAAAAAGGAAAGAGGAACGAAAGAAAAAAATACCAAGAATCAGGCAAAGAGAAAAAAAAAGAAGACAACGCCGCCGGAAATCATGTCTGCGTTTCTCTTCTTCTCTTTCTATACCGATTGCTCCAGGAAATGAAAAGAAGAAGAAGAAGGCGTGGCAATTTCAGTGTTCACATTAATATTAACCAGAAACGGGGGAGAGGAATGTTTTTTGAGCTTGTCACACGCTCTGGGATCGTTTATCACTTTGATGGAAATGGGTGAATGACGGGAATTCCAGAAATGTTTGGAATCGAATTGAAAGCCAGAAAACAAAATAGGGATTTCGGAGGTCAAAGAAACAAGAAGAGTCTCCTGGGAAGTAGAAGTCAGAGAAAATTATTCAACTTCCTTTTTTTAAAATCTACTCAAGATTATTAATTTCAGATTCGAATGAGGTTGAACTGAAAGAGAGGGACGTAGAGACTCATGTTGTCAGAAACCATGTTGACGTCATCTAGTTGCCTGCGGCGTTTAATACATCAGGGGTTTCAGTATTCTTTAAAATTTATTCAAAAGTTGTGGATTTGTAGGAATAGCGAAAGTAAATGTCATTAACCAACTACACTCTAGTTATATGCCTCGGGATAATTGTATTAAGAAACAGAGAAACTGGAAAATTTATCTTTTTATGGTGTTATTCAGGGAGTCGGCAAAAAAGGAAAAAAACTCCGCGAAAACTCGGTGAGTGT